GTCATTATGGCTCTGCAACTACCTCCCAAGGAGCATCAGAGGACCAATAGGTCAACTCCTTTCAGATGAGCCTGAAGTGTCAAAAACAATTGCAGATCCTGGATTGAAAAAGGAAAATGTGGAGAACAAATGCTTAAGAGGTTACAAGAAAACGCATTTCTGTCTAATTTCAAATGAGGGACGCCTCAGGACTTCTGCACGGCGTTGTAGTTGGCATTTGTTTTTTGCAGTGATCGTCATAAAAAAACATCCCAGTCCACTGTGACAGCGGCCTCGTTCTTCTCGTTTCATGTTTCCTCAGGAGTAACTCTGGTAGCCGCTCAAACCGAAACTTCTGCTGTAGTTGTAGTTCTGCTGCTGATAAGGCAGGTTCCACTAAAATGACAAGAAAAAGAATCAACCCGGAGCAACAACACACACACACACACACACGCACACGCACGCACACACACACACACACACACACACACACACATCTATTTAAATACAACATTAAATCTATTCTTATACAGTTAAAAATCTTCATGGAAAGATTCTAATTTTGTATTGGTTTGGTTTATCAACATCAAATAAAAAAAAAAACTTTAAATGAGATTATGTGTTGCAAAAGAAAGCAATTCAGACTATAAGCTGAACAAATAACAGATAAAAATTCCTCACATGTCTGGCCTCTGGTTGCTGACTCCAAGGCTGCATGTCACTTCTTGTGTTGTGCCAACCTTCAGAGACAAAGGCAATATTAACCAGCAGTTTGCACCAGTATGTCGACATAAAAGAAAATATTCATTGTGTCTCATGCCAACCATGAACAGCTCCCCACTGCATCCCATTTGACGGTGGAGGACAGAGAAAGTGACGTCTTCTCTTGTTCCATCTGGGTTTCTTGTCTGGTTTGATGACAGGAGGCAGCAGTCTGTGAGCCTCCTCTTTGTACTGCGTCAGGAGGATTTGTGCCTGTTCCTGCGGCAGCTCTGCGTACTGTAACTCCTCAATCAGGTCAGGCTGCGGTTCTGGGAGACTGCAGCTCACTGAAGCCAGGAAAACAAAAACAACGTCAACGCTGTGTCTGAACAGGGACAAAAAGATCACATAAAGACAATAAATGCCCATCCCTGTGTGCAACTGAAGTTGAAACCCTTTTTCCCAAAAAAGAAGCAAATAAATCGAACCTTGGAGTTTGAGCAGGGCAGTCTCAGGGATTTGCTCGCCGTCGCTCATTCGACGCTGCGACAGTCGTGTTTTCCACTCGTCGGCAGACGGGAAGATCACCACCACCCGCCGCCTGAAGCCTGCAAACAGCTGCAGCTTGTGTCGACGTGCAGAGAAGAGGACGTTGCACTGGGAAAACACGAAAAAAAAAGTTGCGTTAAATGATCCACTCACACAAACAGCAAGCTTTTATTTTAATAGGTAATTTTTTTTTTTTTTTGGGTGAAGTTCTCGGTTACCTGGTCGAGGATGTAGTTTCCAGGCGTCTTGGCAGCGACTTTAATGAGATCAGTTAGACACTGGGAGGCCTGCTGCAGCCTGCTGTCTCTCTGACCACCACTCTGCACAAACACACACACACACACACACACACACACATAGGTTATGAGGACTAGCTGCTCTGAAGTGGATCGAGCTCTAAAATAATTGCTCAAATGAATACAAATTTGGGTTTTCACTGACAAGCATACAAGCGAGCAGATCTTCTGTCCCCAGCAGTCTGTACTTCTTCTCTGGATGCTGCTTCATCAGCGTCTGAGCCCAAAAACTCTTCCCAGAGCCGGGAAGACCCACCATCATCACCACCTGCAGGGACAGAGAGGTGAAACCTGCAGCCTGAACGATTGATTACATATTGAGTGTATATTTATGCACATTGAAGCACAAATATGAGGTTCTTTAAACCTGAATAGCAAGGTCCAAAATCTAACCTCAGACTGCATTCTGGAGGTAGGAGCCGATGTGATGCGCACTCTCTGGCCAGCAGGGAGCGCTGTCAGCGGCATAAATCCCATTGGTCCAGGGTACCACTGAGGGGTTATGTGGTCCAGAAGGAATCGGACCGAACAGTTCTTACAGAGAACATGAGGAACCAAGGCTCGACCCCGCAGCAGAGAGGCACTCAGGGAGAAAGCTGTGCCCAGGAAACGACCGTTTTTATGGAAAAACAACTCAACAGCGCCATCTGCAGAAAAGGCCTGTGGTTGTGGAAGCACAAACAATAAAAAATTTGAGAACAATCCCAGCACCACTCAAACTAAAGAATATAAAGAAAGACAACTCACAGCATAACAGCCAATGATGTCCCCCTCAGAGAGAGGCTCACCGTACTCCTCTTGGGTTCCATCAGAAACCTTTTTACCGCGTCCATCGTAAGCGAAAGAAAACTCGTCCTCCCCTGACATAAAACACAACAAGTTCCAGTTAAAGCTCTGACAACAAACAGAAAAAACATGTTCGGATAAGAGCGACCTGATCCTCACCGAGCAGCAGAGAGGAGTCGCCCACAGACCAGCCCACTCTCAGTCCGTATGGATCCTTGACCTCTTGGTCAGCAGTCAGCAACCTCCTCTCCACCCGAACCTCAAACCCCACCCGTCCCTTCCGCACCCCGTGGGTGAGCCTGCAGCCGGACCAGAGCAACGGGAACCGATCCCAGAACCGTGGCTGCCCCCAGGACCCATCAGAGCTCACTTCAAAGTGGAGGTGACAGCCGTCTGTGGAAACAATCAAAGTGTCAGTGACGTTTCTAACAGCTTTCCAGAAAAGGAAACTGACTTCACTCTGGACTCACATGGATCTAATCTAACTTTATCTTCATCCCACTTTTCCTCGCCTTTGTCCTGTTGAAGCTGTGGTGATTTGGATCTGGAAAGACACAGCAACTCAATTAAAAACACTTTCTGTGAAGAGAAACTGAATAAATCTGATGAGTAAGCCTTCCTGTTAAATGTTCAGGAGTGGAGAACGCCTCACTGGTTCCTCATATAGAGCCTCTTGGCTTAAGAAAATAACTCAGATCTAAGCATTATAAATAGTCAAATTAGACGAATATGGATGGTGAAAAAAAAATGAAATCAAACAAACAATTGTAATTCTATTTTTATCATCCCATAACCTCTACAACTCAAAACGGAAACATGTAAAACTATATAAAAAAGATTTTAAAAAGTGGTTCTCTGAGTGTGAACACCCTTAAACTAAGACATTGAAAAACTTTTCTTGGCATCTAGACCAATTTGAAAATTTGAAAAAAAATTTCTTTTTTAAAGCTGTATAAAGTTATAAAGGACAATTTTGAAATTAATGTTCATTTGTCATTTTGCCAACAATTATAGAGCTTGACAAAAACCTAAGCTGTGATTAAGCAAATCAAAGATAAAATGTAACCTTTAAATATGAATAAATGAAAAAAGAACTTTCTCATTTATGAGAAATGTTGGTTTAGATTTCTAAACAATTAAAAAATTTAGAAACTCAAAACTTTTTCCATACTCAAGCCTTTCTTTTCCATAGTGTGAAGGAATTCTTGTTAGTCAGAAACACTTTAAATGACAACATTTACATCAATTTGAATCTGGTGGTTTAAATTCAATACAGCCACATCCACCAGAAAGAAGGTACGGAAAAAACATTATGAAGAATTAAATTACTAAATTTGTCCCGTTTAGCCTCCCATAGCTTTGTAGATTTTAATATTCACTTTATTAAGGATTTACCTTTTGTATCGTATCTCCTCCTTGAACTCGTAGAAAGCTCTTCCTCTGCCCGTTTCCTCAGAGAGAGGACCATCTGAATACCCCAGCTGCCTGCCCTCCGCCTGGCAGACAGTCTCGGTCCCTGAACGGCACTCAGAACCCGGTGGTACCGCTGGTGGACCGGGTTGTGGCTCAGTCTGAGTGGCAGTGTCTGTGTACTCTCTACCCCGGTCTACTTCACACGGCGCAGCGGCACAGTCGACCACCGGCAGTGATGAGGACTCGGTCCGAACCTGAACTTCAACTGGTTCCGTCGGTCCAGAGGGTGTTGATGAGCTGCCCTCCAGCAGTTCTACATGTTCTGGACTCTGTACTGACTGCGAGGCTGACCATAGTCTGTCCACCAGGTCAGCCTTCAAACCTCTACTGTCCAAACCCAGTTCGGTTAGTTTGGACCGCAGTTCGGCCACTTTTAACTTCTTAATGTCCACCAGCTTCATTCTTAAGACATCAGGATAAACCAGGCTGTGGATTTTTCAGGAAAAAAAAAAGACTCAACAGAACGATAAATAAGGGAGTGATTCAAAACATCGCTTTGTTCTTCTTCGTCTTCTTTTTGGAGTCAATTGGCGGGCGGTTGCCCTCCTTCAAGTTGCATTACCGCCCCCTGGGGCTAAGAAGATATAACGTTTAGGTTAATCTCATTCATAGTTTTTGAACAAATGTAGTTGTCTTAAAACCAATAAAAACCAACTCTGACCTAATGTCTGACAGTGTTGGCAAGAGATAAATTACCAACATTGACACTTAAATATTTATGCACCTCATAATTCAGTGGTTCTTCAGACATGTTTCTTATTTTAATCAGAACTGAAACAAAAGGATTGACATTTATTCTTTTTTTTTTTTTTAAATACCACCATTTTCATGCAGGTTATATCATTTTATTTTGTTGCATTTAACAAATACCTCATTGTTTGTTATTAAAACTGGTCCACAGGGCAAAAAAAGGTTGTGGGCATTGGGCAACATTGTGGAGCACAAAACAAAGAGACCTGAAAAAGTTTAAATGTTTTAGAGTTTTAATCTATCTCAAATTTGAAGGATCCTTGAAATTCATAGAATCATTTCATTACTTTATTCATTATTTTATTTATACAGATTAATGTAGTGTAGCCATCAATTCAGTAAACACGGGCCGTCGTTTTGTTGCTGGATGTACTTTAGTATCATCAACATACAAAAAGAAACTACAACATAAGAGCAGGTATTTTATTTAAATACAGGACAAATGCAAAAACATGAAGATGAATGAGGGAACAAACAGAACTACAGTCAATTCCATTACAAAAACCATTTTATAAATAGCTTCATACTGCAACACCAGCTGATCTCTCTTTACTTCAGACTTCCAGCTCCACTGTTTGTGTTTCATTACAGCCGCTCTGGTCGTCCACAAAACGCAACAATTTAAACAGAAAACCTCAGATAAATCTGCAACATTTTTTCTTTTCATCGTCATTCTCTGTATCCGAGCTACCACACATCAACAAAGTAGTTAAAAAAAAACCAAGCAGATCACCGGAGGAGATCCAGAGAGCAGCTCCGTCCACACAAACGGCACCATCATAAAAGTCGTCACAGGAGCAGAGAGGCTCAGCGGTGTGCACACAGCAGAACATTCAGGTCAGGCTCACACAGTGAGCCCTTTTCCATGAACATGTAGCTCTTTCTCACAACAAAAGCACCACAGTGCTTCATCTGAATAAAACAGAACAAGCTTTTTTTCATCCCTGACGAGGACACAACTGTGCAAAATGTTGGAATCCAGGAGAAATGTAAACAACCATGCTTATTAAATAACCAACAAAAAACCATCATGATGCATTGTCAGTAACATAAATAAATAGAACAAAGCACAGTAAATGTTCTGAATAACACTGGTTATTAAATCACTGGACTATTATAGCATTTCTGATTAAATTAGTCGAATCCTTTCAGTTTGAGATAAAAGGAAGTCTTTGTTAGGACAGAAACCTCTGACAATTTTTACTTACTTTAGTTGTTGTTTGCCTCAAATTTAATGTTAGACTAGAATTCCCTTCTGTGTTTGCTGTCATTGAGCTCGTCTCCTCTACACAGAGCGACTCTCAAAACTGTACACATCCCAGTTAAAATGCCAGGTGATTATTTGTCTCTTACCAAGCAGTTTTGCACAAATAAAATAGAAGATCAAAAATGTCTCATTAGTCAAGTGAAATGTGAAAAAGGATCCACAGCACTATATAAATATATATACATCTCTTCACAGTAAAAACAGATAGAAACTGTTGAAGAAAATAAGGGACACAGTAACGTTACAAAAACTGGTGCCAAGAGAATGACAGCAAAATTGAAGGAGCTGCAGGAATCTCTATCAAGCATTTGTTGTGCTCTATATGTGACAACAATGTTCTATGTTTTGCACTAAGGAGTAGGGCTGCAAGACTGAAGCCTCATATTTCAAGTAAAACATACAAGAAATGACAAAAATATTGCTAAACCTTGTGAGGAAACGAGTTAATAGTCACATGAAAACATAATTGAACTTTAGGCCACAGTGAAAAAAACAAAAACAAAAAAACCATTTGATCCAAAAATAACAATGGACATTACTAAAAAGAACAATGTGAAGCATTGTGATGGCAACATCAAGATAGAACTAGACTTTTTGTCCACCAATCATGAACTGTTCCAAACATCAATAGACTTTTTACCAAAACCCTTCCAGAGTCTGCTAGAAAGCTGAATGTGAACAGGGTTTTTATTTTTCCAAGTCAAATAAATAATAGAAGAACTTCATAAAAGGACGATTAATGGTATGGACTGGTCTAGCTAAAGTAAAGATCTGACATAAAAATCAGATTTCCTCATATCCTGATATATTTGGAGAGGTTTTGCCAGGTTGAGCAGGTAGATAATGTCAAGTGAAAAGCTTTTTTCAGTTAAATTTTTACAAATAATGATTGTTCTCAAAGACGGTTTCTAAATTATTTATCATAGCCTTTTTATACATCACAAAAACCTGGGTTTTTATCAGGGGTGTTGCTGATGTTTGAGGACCACCGTATATATAAAACATGTTCTAATTAGGTAATTTACCTAACTTATCAAAAACATTGAAAATCATTGGTTTTATAGCCATTTAGGTTACCAGGTTAGAAAAAAAACAACATAGATTTTCTGAAATAAACTGTGTCTTACTCCAAAACATCACACACTTTGATAACTCCATCTTTGTAGGAATGTCACACAAATAAAAAAAAAATTATTAAAATGCAAATCTTAAGTAAAGCTGGCAGAAAATCACCTGAAGTTTTAATGAGTAAAATGATCCAAATATTTTTTCAATCAAATTCTCAATTTTAAGCATTTAGGTTTTCCTTTTAAGTCACAGTTCCCTTTAAACTAGATAATTCCCATGGTTTGTTGTATATTTTATAATCTTGCTTAGATGCATCTCTCAGAAAAGTAAAGGTAATAATGACAACAAACTGTATCTTTGGCATTTCCCTACTGCAGTCTCTTGATGCTTCTTCACAGATAATATAATTAAAAGGTCAGGCTCTGCTGACTAAGATGAGGCATATAAACAGTAAGACGTGCAGAGTGGACATTATGAGTGGTCATAATGAACAAGATGAGGTTTAAAACGGTGGCGTTAAATGTGAGGAGCTGCGTTACTACCTCACTCCCTCCCTGTCAGACGCAGACACTCGGGGTCGCAGGGGGAAGAGGAGGCGTCGGGGAGCCGCTGTCGAGGGGAGTGTGTCCCAGCAGCAGCTCCTTGTCTCGGTGCAGCCAAGGCCCCGTGATGTTCTGCCTGTGGGAGTGGTAGAGCCGCAGGAAGGCCAGGATGGACTGAACCAGCCACAGGGCCGTCACAAACCACAGAGACGCCTGAAGATGCAAACAAGACTTACAGTCACGACTACAGGCCAAAAACATCTCTGAAAGTTTGGATTCACGTACTCAGCTTAAAATATTGTATTGTGTGTATCAAGCAGAGTTGTTTTGGTATTTCAACCATAGGAATCTATGTGATACACCAGAGGTCTGCAACCTGCAGCCACAAGTGGCTCTTTGAACATTTCACAATGGCTCTTAATAACTTTGGCTTGGCTAAAAAAAAAAAAAAAAAAAAAAAGAAACCAGCTTATTTTTTTAAATGAAGAAAAAAAAAAAAAACAGTTTTTAAA